TTTGGCCAGGTGGGGTCAGCCCCCATCCCCCGGCTGTGCCCCCTCCTGGAGTCCGGTGAAAATTAACCCTGGCCTGGCCAAACCCAGGACACTCATGCTCAGCCGGATTGTTTTCAACAGTCTAATTATTAAGAGCATTGGGCCTGATCTTCCTTAAAGTTTCCATAGAAGTGTTCACATTTACGCTGACTTTGTTTCAGCAAATAGCTCAAACAAAGCACTCGCATTTTATGAAATGTTAATCACCCTGTCAGTTTCTCACAAACTTATGAATTATGTGCTGTACATAGTTTCTTAGTTTTTTGTTTTGGATTGTTGATACTGGTCCAAATTACCATCTTGTAATATAAGATCAGAGAGATCTGCATCTGCTTCTCAAAAACAAAATAAAAAAAACTCTGCTGCTCTGTTGTGAGTCACATCTGTTGCCACCCAGGGAATGATGCCTTCAGGACTTTTTCCTTAGAAATTAATTTCCTCTTTGCCTGCTGTTCTCTGTGTTTAATGAGACAAGTGGGGGGGGGGGAAGCTCTTGGCTTCATTAAAGGACATACTAAATTTTTCGTCAGCAATTGTATACTAACTTTTCTTCAGGGTATTTTCCTTGAGTGGTACCGGCATTCCAGAGCAAAGTTTAAGAACGTCAAATATTAGTAGCAGATCATATATGGACTAGCATAATTCCTGGAAGCTTTTCTAAAATAAATTTTTTTTTATCTAATAACTCTTCGTATTAGCAATGTCCTGAAAGCGTGGAATTGATAAGTAGGTCTTGAAAAAACGTTAAAAATAGAAAACCCTTTCACTGTTCTTTATTACTTATAGACTAGAGGGCTTGGTTTGGGGTTGCTTTTCATTCCTGAAATGGGCTATATTAGAAAATACACCTCTAGAAGGGCTTGCATTTGGGGCGTAAAGTCAAAGAGGTGTTGTTTTGTCAATGTGTGTTAGTCTTCAGTTAAAAGACTAAAATTTAAGACAGAACTGCTGCTAAAGTTAGAACATGACTGGTTGGCACCAAGTAAAATTTGAAACAAGTTGTTGGGAATGTTTCTGTCCTATTTTGGTGTTTCATTTAATGTTTTGGTTTCGGCTGCCGCCGGCAACAAAGACAAGTCATTAAGGGAATTTAGAAGTAAATTCTTAATTTGCACATGTGGTCAAACAACTTCCACGTGGAGGACTTTAAAAGATGTGACTTGGTTTATTTTTTTGCAGGAATTTCTGGGAGCACTTTCAGAAACGCAGCTCCCCATGTTTGGCTCATAACATACCGGGTTTATCGTGGCTCTTGTTGAGAGCTTTGCACTAGGATTGAGAAGCACAACAAACTGTAATTGTTGTTTCTTTGGTTTTTTTATTCTTTTCTTTTGGATTACAATTTTGTGTAGCAGGTACAGGTGTTTTTGCAGCCTCTGTTCGTGTGTCATAGATGTGTCCTATCACTGTAGCTGGTGGAAAGGATCGTAGAAGTAATGTCAGGTGCAAGTATTGAGTCAGGATTGCCAGAATGTTGATGTTCATGTCTTTACAAGTTGATTCTTTTTCCTCACCCATTTTTCCTAAACCTCCTTCCCTGGCACCTGATTGTTGCAAGATAGGAAAATCCATACTTTTCTGTTCGGATGCGTTTCTTCTCTGCTTGCTGAGAAGGGGTTGGGAGGGGGCAACACACAACTCTTCCACCTATCTAACTCTCCTCCACCAAGCATGCTTTGGAGTTGGACTGATTTAATGGTGTCAGAAGAAATCATCTTTCCATATAATAATCACAGGGCTAATTTTGTTTCCTGCTCAGTTTTTCCAAGCAGCAATTACAGAACTGGTGGGAAGCGGGTTTGACAGTTGCCTGCTGTCTCAAGTTTTAGTTTCACAATTCCTAGGCAGCCTGTGTTTGAATTCAAAGGCTTGGCAAAGCTGAGGGCACTGAGAAGGTGTAGGCATGCCTGGAAAGTAGGGAAGGTGATGCAGATTTACTTGGAAATTTCTTGCAGCAAACATTATGGAACAAAACAGGTGGGTTTTGTTTTTGTTTCTCGTGTGCAAACTGGAGATTGGACTTTTCAAGTCTGTAAAGTCAAAAATTTAATCCACAAATTTGTCTCAATAAAAATACAGCCTTTAAAAGCAGAAGTAGTTTTATATGGGTAGTGTAAAACCAAAATAATCTTCTTATCCCTTGTATAAAAGTAAGCGAAAATTTCTGACTTGCTGATTCTAGAGACGAGGACATTTGTCTTCATGGGCTCTTTTCCAGCCTTGGGAAAATTCTGCTTCTCATGTGATTTTTTTTTTTTTTTTTTTTTAATGATATGAGGATTTTATGGAGAATTTATGCATTTCACGTTAACCTTATTTTAAATATTTTTTAAAATTCAAATAAAATGACAAAAAAAAAAATCCTCAACAATATGGCTAGAAAAGAAAATGGGAAGCATCATTTTTTCATAGTAGAGGGGGAATTTGGAGTGAGCATTTAGTGCTGGTGATATGGGAAGACATGGTTTGATAGTGCAGTGTGATGGTGCAGCTGAGATGGAGTGTCACTGGACAGATGTTCCCAGGGAGCAGGAGTAGTATGTACCTCAAGTGTAACAAAGGACAAGAGACTTTTACAGCCCTGCTGAATTGTTGAAGATCGCTGATGGTTCTAGCCCTATTAGATGCATAAACTGGATTCTAACTGTCCAAACAGTTCTGTTTTCCGGATAGTAATTATAGCGTATCTCGTGCTTTTAGTCTTCTCTCTTATAAAAAGAAATAAAATGAAAAAGAAATATTTTATTCTGCAATTTTTATTTATAGATACTGATCATATCCTCCATATTAAAAATATTGTAGGAGCTTCAAGAATGTCGCTTTTGCCACCATGATGTGTTTATTACTTTTATCATCAGATTTATGTATTTTAATGACTCAAAACTGTGTGCTTAAATATAAGAATAGCTTTATACTGTATTAATTTCACTTTGGCTGAGTAACCATAGACATAAAGTTTTAGGAAGGGCCGTTATCAACATAATCTTTTGTGAGCTGACTGTGGGAAGCTAGGTGGTAGTGACCTCTCTGCCTGATGTGCCCCATCACGGGAGGCTGAAGCCAGCACCCCTCGATTAGAGCTTTTCCAAACAGGATGTGACAGGTTGGCAGAGGTGGACGCAAAGTGTCGGTCTGCGACTGACACCCTGTACTTTCTTACAAATGTGAAGTGAGCTCTGAAAGCACTGATTTCACTCATTCTGGCTCATTCCGGTTAGAGGCTAAATCTGCCAAATTTGGAGGTGATGTCAGGTCTTAATGATTTACTCTAGCTAACAGTGAATGTGCCCACTTGCCAGAGTGTCTGCCTTCATTCATGAAGTGCAGGACATGTGTATGAATTTCGGGGGGTTGGGTTTTGGGGTCTTTTTTTTGCTTTAGATTTTCTGATACAGGGTACAAACTTTTGCATTGGCTTTTGAGAGTCAGTTCCATCCAGATACTGCATTTTCTGTCTTTCTTATGAAAGTTTTTGTCTTTTTTTGAGCTTCTATATTTAGTTGTGTTGGTAGAATCAGCTTGCAGGTGGAACCAGTGATTTCTTCCAGTATGACTAACCCTGATCTTTCTCCACAAGCATTCTTTTAATCAACTAAACTGATGCTAGCTCGTGATTCCTTCCTTCTTTCCAAAAGGAAGATTTTGGGGGGTTTTTTGTGGTCTTCTCGTGGTATTTTTTGCTGGTTTGTGATGTGCTACTTCTTTATTACAGGAACACTTACACAGAATGAGATGGTGTTTAAGCGCCTCCACCTAGGTACTGTGTCCTATGGAACAGACACAATGGATGAAATTCAGAGTCATATTATAAACTCGTATTCACAGGTATCTCATTTTGTAAATCATTTACCTTTAATATTGAGATTTTTTTAACAGCATTGAAGCATTGTTGTTACTGATTATGTCTAGAAATTTGAAATGCTATGAAAGTTCTTTCATCTGTAGATATCTCTTAACAGATGTGATGAAAGGGAAAAATGTGACAGTACGTAGTTCTCTTCTGGTTCTGGAGTTCCTTGTAATACCGACTTAAAGAAGCTGACTTTTCAGTTCCCCACTAGCAGAAATCTGTGTTAACCTGTCTGTGCCGTGCAGTCTTTCTCCTGCCAAATCATCCAAGAGTAAGCTATTCACTACTGAGACTACAAATTACAAGTGTCCAGAACAAGACGAACAGTAATTACATCTTTGAAGATATTCATCAAGAATAGACAGCAAAAAGCCACATTAATTGGTATAACCAAAAAGTAAAAAAAATAATTGTCAAAATAAAATTTATAGAGACAGATCTAAAAAGTTTTTTTAAAAAATTAAGATGATTATAAACAGCATATAACTGGGGGGAGGAAGGGGGGTGAGAAAATGGAAAACTCTGTATTGCTTGAGAGTGAAGCATTCCTGTGATATGTGAGAGTGCTTGGTCTGAAGAGTGTACAAGGGGATTGTGGCTCCCTGTCTGTCTGTGGGTCAGTTGTGGGGTGAAGGAGGCAGACAGAATTTTGCAAGTGTTGCTTGTATTTCCCATGTATGTAAACTATTCGGGTGCATTCTGCAAAACTTTCTAAGCACCTGATTCCACTCTGAGATTAGGGAGGATTTTTTACTTGATTTTTAAATTCTATTCTTTGAAACAAAGAAGAAAAAAAATTGACAGAGGAGGATATAAACGATAGGTTAACTAATATTTCTATATGTTGCGTACAGTATGATAATAAAGCTTCATATGAAAGTTCTTTTCCATAGTTAACGTGGATACACAAACATGACTGGCTGACCCAGTTAAGTTTGTAGACTGACCTCCTTGTCTGTGTCCTCATTTTCTCTTGCAACAGGATTGTAGGATCAACAATTGATTTGAACCTTCAGTTGTGCTGTTTTGAACTATGGCTCCTTTCTCATTTAATAACAAAAATTAAAAAGTGGCTGTTTGACACAGCGCTGCACTCTAGTTAATATTATGTAGCTTTTGGGAAGAGAGGCAGGAGGGAAAGCAGTGAATTAGCAATGTATGTTATGAGTTTCTAGTCTACAACTTCAACTTGTGTGTTACTTCCCATCTAAACAGATGAACAAATCCACTTCTTCGATTTATTCAAGGAAAAGGAATTCATTTCAGCTTCATTCTTAGTACGTATAGCTAGGAATAGTAACCCAGATGCAATAATAGGCCTTGGAAATGAGATAGACATGGAGTTCCTTTACCTAAAGATCCGCAGTCTAAGTACGGTTCTGGGTGGGTTGTTGAAAGTAATTGCTACATGACTATGTTTGTAAAAATCACCCAAACATCGTTTCTGATGGCACACCTAGGTCTGGCTGAGTTTGATGACTAAGCACCAGTCTTCCAGAGGGTGTATATTCATTAACACTACTGGTTTCGTACTGTGCGGTTAAATGTGCGATCTGAAAAGAATTGCATGATTCCGGGTGTTCGTATTTGCTTAAAGCTTTTACCAGTTTGCTGTAAAATTTAATGAGTAGTACCCACGGTTAGTTACGTTTTTAATAACTGTAACATATTTTCCACTGAAATTTTTAAAAGTAGTAAGAAATGTGAGGGAAGCTCTGCCCCCCCCCCAGTTGTGGGAGAAGATCTCCGCAATCTAGGTTTGCTGTTAGTAGGTGATGATAAGAACTTTCTTGGAACATCCTTTTTTTTTTTTTTCCAGCTTTGTATAGCACTACTTGCTGTTTAAATAATGCTTTAATTATTTGTGTGTTGGTAGCAACTCTTTAAAACAGAAAAAATGAAAGCATCTTGGTAACAAAACAAGCAACTATTAAACAATTGTTTCAATCTGAGAAAGTATGGCGAGGCTTTTATTTAATCTATGATAATAGAAGCTGCCAGTTAGCTAGGCAATGGTTCTTGTGTGACATTGATTTTATCCCTTGTTTGTGTTCTGTTTTATTATTACAGTGGACCTACTAGACTATTGTCATCTTAATGTAACACACAAATCTATTATAACCTGATTATATTTCCCCACTGGAAGCATTTTGTGATAGAGGGCATAATCTTTAATGCAATTTGTGTGAAATTAAATTATACAAGCATCAATAAACATAACATAATTCAGAAGGAGTAAATCAGCTTAATTTATTTGTGGCTGTAATGGCATCAGCGCTAGCAGAATGCAAATGCAGAGGTTTAAAGCAGCAGCTAAAAAGCAGTGCCAGATGAACAGAAAGTTAAACCCTTTATTAGAGAGCACTGTAATTTGATGGGCAGAATGTTCACGGTTCAGTTTGCAGATTGCAGTCAGGAGGAAAAAAGGGTGGATTTGGAAGAGATTTTCTGAGTTACCCTGGAGTGAACAGAAGAGCCTTTGGTAATACTGCCAACACATTTAATGTGCTGACTTTAAAAAAAAACAAAAACAAAAAAAAAACAAACAAACAAAAAAAACAACAAAAATAACCCAAAATAACCCAAAACCAAACACAAACAAACAAAAAACCCCAAACAGCAATAAAATCCAAAACAAAAAAAAAAAACAAACCCACTTATTTTCAACTAATTATAAATACACAGTACTTTCTCTTAAAAGGTTAATTGAATCATGTGCTGAAGGATAACTTAAGATAGTGCTAGTTTAGTGGTTATGCAGCAGTACTGTGGTCTTCGATATGTGTCAAACTTATTTTGCATGATGAGTGTATTAGATTATTGCATTCTTGTAAGGACAAACAAACTTCAGCCTGCAGCAAAAGCATACAACCTGCATTAGTTCACAAATAATACAGAAATGGTGTAGGTTATATATTAAATCTGCAATATTTATATTTTAATGACTCCTAATATTTATACTTCACAATGAGACTTGCTTTTGTTCTTTTGTTACATAGCAATGTGGTGGTCTTTAAAACACAGAGATTCAGGTGAAAATTTAAAGAAAAAGGGTTTTTTTTCAATTTAGCGGCCTTAGTTTCCAGCCTCTGAATGTAGACAAGTGACAAAGAGACTGAAGAACAACTTGCGGTTTTGTTCTGGGGTTCTGAACTCACACAGTTGGTTGCTGGCTTAAATACTTTTGAAAAACAATGCACAGAATGTGAAGGACATTAAAGGATGATTGTGACTGATCACTGAAAATGATAAATTCTGAAGTGAGGAGGCAGGGTTTTCTGCAGAATCGTCAGCCTGTTCGCCCCTTTTACTGCATACGTGTTCTCATTTCACATTTGAAGTTGTCTGCAGGCTCTGTTACTGAAGTCTAACTAGACATGCAAGGTGATGAGCCCACAGTTCTGTATCAGTTCTACAGAAAAGTAGGTGAGGGTTTTCATGAATCACAAACTGAATGAGTTAACAGTAGGTTATGTCAAATAAATACGTGGTTACTATCCTTATCATTTATCAGCCTTTGTAATGGGAATAATCAGATATGTATATTAGTTTCTATCTTTTGTTTCCATTATTAAACTTTGTTTTACTATTCATTGTGTTGGGTCGTAAAGGTGCACTCTCAAAACAGTGGAAATAGTACAAGTTCAACACCATCTAGGAAACCTCAGTCATCTGCACCCAAAGTCCGCAAGAGTGTCAGCAGTCGGATACACGAAGCTGTGAAGGCCATTGCGCTGTGCCACAACGTGACCCCAGTGTATGAATCCCGGGCTGGTGTGTCTGGAGAAACAGAATATGCAGAGGTGGATCAGGACTTCAGTGATGAAAATCGAACTTACCAGGCTTCCAGCCCTGACGAGGTTAGTGAGCAAGGGTGAAAAAAATAATGTCTCATAAAGAACAGGATAAGCTGAGTTAAAAAGAGCAGAACTGTGAAAGAAGAGTGTTGGGCTGGGGTTTCTGTAGCATTAACAGTAATCTAGTTTTATTTCTTCTACAGCTGTAGAAAATACCTCGTTTCTTTGTTACATACAGTTGTTTTCAGTTATTTGACTAAAAGGTCTGTGAGGTCAGTGCTTCAGGATCAATACTGTGTTGAGTATTGCCATTAAAGGTATGAGGTGTATTCTCAAAACGTTAATCCATGTATGAATCATAGCATATATATGCAAAAGGGCATATGAACCTCTTTGAGTGATGGACAACCTGGTACATTAGCTAGAGACACCACCAGTTAGTGGAACGTATAGAATCTTAACAGGAAAAACCGCCAAATCTCAAATACTCTTGTAGAAAAGCTTTTGAGCTTCAAACCGCAGGCAGGTTCATATCTGCAAGGTTCAATCAAAATTGTATCAAGTGTAGCTCAAACTGAAAACCCTTTTTCAATGAAAACATGCATTTCACTTCCATTGAAATCCAATTTTTAAACAAATCCCGCTGCTTTCAGTGAATTTGAGTTATTGTTCCAAATAATCCTGTTTTGGGACCTAAACTGATTGCCTAAAATTGAGCCTAAAAAGATCCTAGAAGAGGGAGGCAAAGCTCAAGTTTTAGGATACTGCAAATAAGCATAAAAAAATAATTATAGCCCAGTTACTTGATAAAAATATGCATGTACTTGAAACAGTGAAATAGAGTATTTTGAGATTGGTTTCGCTCTGAAAGTGAAGAGGTTGAGGGGTGTCTTTGTTTTCAAGAAATTCTGGCAGTGTCTGAAGCTTGGATGTACTGTTGGTGGTGTAGCCACCGTAGCTTAGTCATAGGCAAAGCAAGGCGCTTGTAAGATGTGAAGAAGGAAGTGTGTATCTGAAAGCCTGTTATTTTTTCTAACCAGATAGGTTGATTTAATACAGGATAATGTTTCTTCCACAAACCTCGTCTTGCCACACCATAGCGGGTTGCTCTTGGTATATGTTTGGTTTACAGGTCTAATATGTCACCATATGTAAGACTAACAAAGCTTTAGTGATTCAAATTCTGCAAGCTGTAACTGCTAAAAGTAACAAGCCGGTAAGAAGTATTTTTAGGAATGCAAGAAATAAAATGAAGTCTGCCTTGATGTAGCACCGAACTAGCAGGCATTACAGGCATTTCAGGTGCTGTAAACACAGTTCATAGTGTCGAAGGATTGTAGGATATAAAGAAGTGACAGGTTCTCAGTGATTAAAAAGTGGCAGTCAGGACATTTTTAAAAATAAACTCTAGGCAGGACTTCAGATGCTGCTCTTTGGCTCAAATCAATAATCCAGAATACTCTATGCGGTGTTACGTAGTGTGGGTTGATCTGCGTGCTGAATTGAGAATGCTGGAAGTGCAGTTGTTTATGCCAGAGTTACACTGTAAATATCATTTGCCTTCGTAGCTTTATAATATTTGACTTGTATTATGCACATGTACGAATTTTCACATGCACATAGATTCATATTTGCTGAATCAGTGTAATGAGCCTGTGAGGTATTACTAAATACAATGAAAGACTGCACGAGCAAGTATCTCCCTATGAAGATACGATGACAGCTATGGAGTTCTGCTTTAACAGATAAAGGCATTGCTAAACGACATGAAGGAGATATGCAATTGAGGGAGACTGTGTGAGATTTTTCTCCCATTTGCTCTTTTCTCTGTGGGCTTTTTGTATATTCATTCAGTTGTTTGGAACCTGAAAATATTACCATAAAGAGGAACTCTTCTCCCATATCTGCTGAAGCAAACAGCTGTAAGACAAGGATTACGCAAGTGGTGCCCTGGGAAGACAGTAGGGAATCTGACCTTGAAAAGAGGAAAGTTGATAAAGTGCTAGTACGAGAGATCTGGGACTCAGGGTGGACGGGGAAGTGGAAGAGGAAATTGGCAGCAAAGAAACTGTTAGTGCTTCAAGGCAGAGAAAGCATGAGTATCTGTTTAATAATGGGGTTTTTTTATGTTCTCGACTCGTACATTCAGACTATATGACAGTGAAATGAAAAACTTACATTTCAGAACAGACAGCATTACATTTCCTTTTTGTTTCTCAAAGATAATGTTTGAAACACTAGTAAAATTATAATATTGAACAAACATGTTTTAATATCAGGAGATATTGATGCTAAATGGAGTCTTATAAAAAGATGAAGCTACAAAAACCATTTAAACAGTGTAAAAATTGCAGCATGACAGCAAAAAGCCTAGGAGTTGAAAGACTAGCAGGTCTTTATCATAATTTTTTTAAGAGTTCTATTGATGCAATGTTTGCAAATCACTGGAGCCTAAGGAAAATAATGTAAATGGTTCATTATTTAGCTTATTGAACTTTCCTGCAGTTAGGTTGACGGATGATGCCAATGTTTCCCAATCACCAAAGTACCATTTTAAAAGCATTTTTTATTGAATAAAGTGCTTTGAATATTGCACCCTGGAGCTTTATTTAGGGAAATGGTTCAATTGATGTTTTCTGTTTAACCTCAGCGCTGACCTATCACAACATACTTGGTTAATAAGCAACATTATCATTTAATAGACTTCACCAGTTTTATGCATTGTACTTTCTCAACATTACAACTCTATTCTCTTACATTTTGTTTATGGATCTGGCTTGACTGCAGTCTTTTGAAAGAAGATGTTATTTGCATGATATAATATTACATGAGATCACCTTAGCATAGAAAGAGCAGAGAACTATGTGTAAGTATAACCTATTCTTCCATGTAGGAGAGCGTTGACACACTATGCACTTAATAAATTGACTTGAGGAATTCATTTGAAAGTCTTCACATCTGTCTGTGTATGTGTGCATCTATATACAGATAAAATATAACCATAACAAGGTATGCACATTTAGAAGTAGGTACATTCATCATAAAAGATGTATTTATCTATTGTTAGAGTAACCTGAGATAAGTAACTGATTTTGTATTCATGATGTGAACCCTACTTATGCCAGGCTCTTTGTTTCTTATGATAAGTGATCAATATTTCATTTTCTCTGAAAGAGTGGAAAGTTTCATTTGTCTGTCACTTGTCCTCTACAGCTGTAGCATAGCAAACAATAAATATTCACTGAGAACTCGCTGGAAAAAATGGAAACGACTCCTCTTTGGCCATCGTAGGTGTGGGTTCAGCTCATCTGTAGAAAGCCTTAATGTAATGAACAATCATAAAAGGATATAAGCTAGGTAGGTAAAGCAATGGAGTTCAGAGGTCGCAGACCCAAGCAATTCAAGGGCATGCTACCAACAGGAGCCTTTGAGGACCTTTGCTGCCCTTGGTCAGAAGAGATTGATCAGGCACGATTTTTAATGACTGCTTACTCTCATAAACCAGCTATTTATTGGTTATGCTTTGTCGTGCACTGTAAAATTCTCAAGCATTTGTAATTCCAGGATTTTGAATATTTAAATACTACCTTAAAGTGTGGTCAGTTATTGAATTCCAACATTTTGGTCCAGAGACAACAGAGTTGCTAAAATTAATTACAAGGATACAAAGCCAATCATTTAAAAATGGACAAGGAAATGATATGCCCTTACTGAAGCAGCTTTTGTGTTTACAAAAGTGAAGCTGTAATGTATGAGACATGTTGTATTGTTTAATTCATTTTATTGTGTGTACTTATTGAAGCAGGACTAATTGTGTTGTTGTGTCAATGTATTGTGAAAAGCAAATCACTCAGTAGCATAAAACCATCACTTTCATGACCTTTGAGACCCACAAAGAATAACTACTCCACAGCTTGTCTTGAATATTGATCGGCAGTTTTTTTGCATTATCAAGCTGTATTTTTAAGTTAATAATTTTATTTTGATTATGAAGTTTCTTGATGAAAAGCGATGGTCTGCAAGTGTTAGTTATCATATCATTGTTTATAGATATAAACAAACCAGTGCTGATGGGAAACACATGTGAGTTGTTGTTGAACAATCCAGACAGAAACTGTTGGGAGCACACAGGCAGTGGGAAAAAGAAATCTCACTGCTGCTTCACTGCTTCCAAACCAATAACCTTGACTTCAAAATGCCACACATATAACCTCCTTACAGAGCAAGCTGATCTTGAAAGTAGATCCTATTGCCTGAAGTGAAGATGCTCTTAAATACTCTGAAATAAATGAAGGTTGGTTACATGAGAATTCTTCTAAGCAGCAAAACTAGCTTACAGAATTTCCATCCCTAAGTCCTTCTTTCTCACCCTGCAAATTGCACCCTCGTGTATGCCAAAACCTTCAAAGCCTTTATTCATATGGGTCGTTTTTTCAGTTGAAGTGGTCAGGTTCATAGCATGGCTCCAGAAGAGCTGTCAGCACAACTGTGGGGGAACTTCCAGACTGATGGATGGGTTGGAGGAGAACTGCCAGCAGCTGCCGCAAGGCGATGGATCTTTTGCTTAAACTGCTGTTAGCTCAGAAGGGAACATTGTATGTTGGAAGTGGCGATTAGTTAGTCATAAGCTGTTTGAGCACCGCTTTGTAAATATTGAGCAGTTCGGTATTTCTGGAGTCTCCTTCTCTGGAGATATTCAAGACCCGCCTGGACAAGGTCCTCTGCAGCCTGCTGTAGGTGACCCTGCTTCGGCAGGGGGGTTGGACTAGATGACCCACAGAGGTCCCTTCCAACGCCAAACATTCTGTGATTCTGTGATTCAGCTGGGGAGGAGCAATGGCAGGCTGGCCTGCGAGGAAGGGGAAGTCAGGAGCCGAGCATGGTAGCCGGGTGGCTAAAGGCAGTGGCCTCGCTGATGAGGTATACCACACCACAATATCCAGGCAAGGTGAGGAGAGCTTGTCCCATGATGGAAGCTAGAGACAGTCAAGAGTACAGATTGTTGTACAGGTCTGTGGTGACGAGGCATGTCTGAATTCAAGCCAAGAAGTCAAATCGGTAAGTCAGCATCAGGTGCCAAACCAGGAGCCAACATTAGCCACAGATGGGTGATTGCAAGGGAACTTTGTGGTGGTGGAGCAGGTCCAAAGCCAGGAGGTCGTGTCTGCCTGCCAGGGCCAGGTCAGCAGGGTACGTGGCCAGGTGTGGGCATCGCTGCAACGTGACTGCAGCGTGGCTCTCACAGGACCAGGCGTGAGAGCCGAGTGACAGGGCGAGCGCAGCCTCCATGGGGGCTGCTTCGAGCTGCTTCTTCGTGACAGCTCTTAACAGTGAGCTGGCCTTGAGTGCAGCTGATTAAACTCCTGGGAAGGAGAGCGCACTCAGGGCCTTGACAGTTTCAGTCTAAATAGGGGTTTGAATATTGTTTCACAGAAATACATTGCTGTTCTGTCTTGGTTGATAAAAGGTTTGAGTAAAGTAAGTATCCAATCTTTGTTTCAATTTACCCAAGCTAAGAGTGGTTTATTGGTTGGGGTTTTTTTTTCCACTTCTGCTTTCTCTCTCAAAATGCTGTATTATAAAAAACAAAATTAGTGGATTAGGTTTCTAAGACCAGCTAAGTTGCAAACAGCCCAGAATTCAAAGGGAGCAGTAGTAGTATGATGGTTTGGATGTTCCAGTCCTGATTGATGTAGTATCTAAAGCAGGCAAGAACACCCTTAGGGCATTTTTTTGGTCTTCTGCCAAGCAGTAACAGTCTTTTAGGATTGATCCAGTAACCGAAGGTCTTCAGGATTCAGCAGGGTGCCTCATATACCTCGCTTTGTGGACTTATAACCCTGTGTGCCCAAAGGCGAGGCGAGTTTTGTTTTTTTTTTTTTCAGGTGACCGTATCAGGTTTTCTTTAACTGGGACTTCTTCACGCCATCGCGCTCCCAAGATGACAGGCAAGTAGAGGGAGTTACATTTTCCACAGAGCAAAGGGACTCAGTGTTGCAATTCCCCAGACTGAAAATTAGCTGGGTGAGAAGTGATACTTCCTGTTGGTCCAGAGGAAGCGAAGGAAGATGTTAATCTGAGAGGGAGTGAGAGTGCCCTTCCTTGTGCATGTCACTCACTCTCACAGGGAAAGGTCAGGAGAATTCAAAGATGGGCTTTGAGCTGGGCTATGTAAGGAGCAGTTCTGTACATACTGATTGAATGGCCTAAAGCCATCTAACACCACTCCAGACAGAAGCAAGCTCCTGTTTCATCCTCCGGGTTGAAAGTGAAAAAAGATGTGGCTGTTCCTTTAAGTGCTTTCTGTGGACAATCTGTTTCATCTTACATGTTGGCCTTAATTTTGACTATTAACTCATGTGTGTAGTTTATAACATTTTCTGCCACATAATTATTTTCATTGGGGTTATTAAATGGAAGTTATAGGCTAATAGACTGTATAGTAGAACAGATTATTTCCTCAAAAAAAAAAAATGTTGGCACCATAGTTGAAAAAAAAGTTTTTTAAAATTGTTGATTAATATTTAGTTTAGGTCAAAATCAGTCTAGTGTTCTAATTAAATATGCAGTTCTGAATCCACAACAGCAATAATGTTTTGGGGTTTTTTTCTGTGCTTGTTATGGGGTTTATGAAGTCCTTAACTATTAATTTTCCTGACTTTAATAGGCTTAAGTTTTGTGGCTGATAAAATAGGTAACTGCATCATTGTCACTTAAAACTACCTATTTATGAGCTGCTTGTCTTGATTTAGTTCTGTAAACGAACACTTACAGACAAATGGGATGACTATGTCCCCAAAACATGGAATTAGTATGCAGGGCTGCCATGGTCTGTAACAAAAGTGCTTCTGAAGTTTCTCCTCTGCTCGCCCCTCTCGAGACGCTCAAGTTCCTCGGGCAGTTGAGCTAGACAAACCGTCCTGCTTGGAGAAGCTACTTCCACCTTCTGAGCTGGCACTGCTGTAGGTTACACTGTGGGTCGCACAGTCACCGCTTGAGTTGAGAGAGTTTCCTTATCAAGTCTCGGAGTTTGACGTTGAATGGAAAGCTGTGCTGTGGTAATTGAAGGGTTTGATATGTGGGGCTGTGAGCTGTGGAAGCTCTGAGAGTCGGGTGGCCTCTAGTGGAGAGAGATTGCTGACAGAGGCAACCAGAGCTCAACAGTAGCCATGTGGTAAATAGAAACATCTGAGAGATTTTGGGTAAGAAACACCAGACAGGAGGTGTTTCCCAGTACCTTTTGTCAGATCTGTTGCATTTCCATTTTGTAATGCAAGTATTTGCTACCTTCATTCCTCATGTGGAAGCTGCTGCTTGACGTTGTCCATGCGAGAGGTGCATAGATGTCTTTGTCCTTTGGATTGCTGCTGAGGAGGAAGGCAGCTGGCAAGTTAGAAACCACAGAAGCTCTCTGGGATTCCAGCTGCGTTACCTGTCCTGGGAACACCACGCAGTTAGTGGGTTCCGGTGCACACCTCTGTCTCAATAGTCGGAGGACGCTGTATCTGCCGGTCTACTTCTGTCTCCCAGGCAGCCGGTTTCCATAGCAGAGAAGCCTGATGATAGGCCAGGCAAGATACACAAAATATCCAAAGAAGTTCCTAACCTGGGTTCAGGAAACTTGACGCATTTCATCTGTGTGTGTTAGGGAATTAATGGTTATCAGCAAATAAATATTATAATTAGAAAGGATTTTTTTTAAAGCACAACGGTAGCATCACCAGCGAAGACTTCTGTGCTTGTCCAGCCTTTGATTGCTTTATCTGACTGTATCCAATATGTAAGCTCTGCAGAAGCCACAGCTGCTGTGTTTACGTGGCATTCTAGGGCTTCTTGATGTATGTGCACGAGATTGCAAGACCATTGTAATGTAAGGTTTCAAAAACATACTGAAGAGAATATACTTGCAGAGGGGAAACCTGAAGAAGAGGGACTTACTTAAGAATCCTTTTTCTAAAGTCTGTCCAGCCAGCCACTCAGTATATATTTATTTGTTAAGATTTATAGTTTAGATTTTCATGCCATTTGTGATTTTTTGTTTGTTTGTTTTAATTTGTATGTTCTAAAAGCTTCAGATATTTAATGGTAAGGTCTGGCCGTGTTGTTCTGGATGCTGTTAAGGTCTAGCTGCTCTGATTAATTCTGGATGACGAGAGTCAAACTTAATGTCTTGCTCTCAAGTTTGTTCAGTTGCTTGTTAGGCATCTATTTGATGCTTGAGCCTTATTGACTATTTCTGCTATGGTATTTGCACTTATCAATTTAAAAGAAAGAAAAAATATATGCGCTTGTGTGTAGGCCAGGTATAAGAATCCAAAATGACTGTGCTGTAAAATGCTAATTTAAATGGTAGGTGAAGCCAAGCATAAACGAAATAATAAACAGATGTGAGTCACCAAATATAGAACACTTAAGCCCTAGCTGCAAAGGGACACAAATGAGATGATAGGGTATTAGTAGAAAGATGCAATTTGCAGGTCAGAATGTAATAGTAACCTTTCACTGTGAAAATTGAAAATTAACCTTGGGAGTATTGGATCATTTACAGCTTATATGGTACTTTTATTGAGGAAGAAAAATCTCTAAAAAGACTTCCTGTGATTTTTGAGAGTTTAAAACTGTGCTTTTCAGAGTGTGTTCTTTTCTCTTCTGTAGCTTCGTCTCGCTGTATTTTCCTGTGGTGATGTCTACACAGATGGCACTACTAGGGTTTCTTAGGGCTTCACAGAGTTGGGTTTTTGTCCAATTTTAGATTTTCATAGAATTTTCAAGATTTACTTGCTTTGGGTAAAATTCTTAGTGATTCATCACATCTGTTGAACTTACCTAGGGACTTTGCTACATACATGTCTTTTATTAGACTGCTGGATTTTTATTTCTTTCATCTTACCTGAGATTAGTAACAGATGCAGGTATCATAAAAATCGTATGAACTTCATTATAATTACCTTTCTAGTCATTTAAAATCTGGTTTCCAGTAACATTTGGAAAAATAAGAACAGAATTGAGAGGAAAATTTTTTTTTTATCCAAAACTTTCCATTCAGATATGGAATATGGCTTGTAGATAAACTAACAGTAAAGCAGTTTCATAAAATATGAATTTTTTGAAGGAATAAACCACATGGTGGTGATAGAAAAATATCTACTGTGTTTCTTAAAGTATAGCGTAGAAGAAAATAGCAGCCAGATGTCATGCACTTTAAAGCAGTAAAAATTAAAAAAAAAAGTGAATCTAATGCATGCATGTAAGATGCAGTGTGGTGACACCTAATAGTGATTATTGTATAATACAGCATTTCTGGGTTTGTAAAACAGACTTTCCCAGCGTGTTTGTGGGATGCAGTACTGTAAGCTTGGTTTCCATCTCATTTGGTACGGTAAGAACTCAATTACGTTCTTGTTGAAACAAAGTAATAAAATGATGCAAGTGAACAAAGTAAGCTAGAAATAATATCCTTTGCTTATCTATTTACTACGTATTACAGCATCTCAACTTGCATGCAATTGTAGATCTAATAAAACGTGTTATATGGAAATACTCCCAAAATCTGTTACTTACATAGAGGTGTCATTGGTACAGGAACTGTATTCTGGTTTTGCATAATTTCTGCTTGGATGTCCTGTAAATACCATTAAATATAGATCTGTGGGTTATTTATTAGAGCTGTTACTTCTGAACAGTGTGTTCTAAATACCTCATATGCAGGAAGAAGTTCAAATGAGTTTTTTTATTCTTCGTAAGAATCTTTGTAAGCTTTGTGAATGAAAATACTAATTTGTTGTGTTAAGATTTTGTACCCAGTCTTCTGCTATTCACATTTTTGTTTTCCTAGGTGCTTGGAGGAGTTTAGGCCTTTACCCTAGCAACAGTTGTTTGGCTTTAGCCTAATTTATGTAACAGTATAATAGACCTTTCACACTTAAACATGTCCGTCTCTTCCTTCTTCCCTTCCGTTAGGTCGCTCTGGTGCAGTGGACAGAGAGCGTGGGTCTCACGCTGGTGAGCAGGGACTTGACCTCCATGCAGCTGAAGACCCCAGGTGGCCACATCCTGACGTTCTACATCCTGCAGATCTTCCCCTTCACTTCTGAGAGCAAGCGCATGGGGATCATAGTCAGGGTAATTCGGAGGTGTTCTGGGTGCTGGCTTCTATTTCTCAAAAAATGTTTTTACTGCATGTTTATAAAATTTAATAGAAACTTGATCCTTCAGGAATGCATTTCACAAGATTTTCAGATGGCAAGTATACTTTGGACACAGGTACACATGAAATACTAGGCAAGCAATTGTAGAAAAGTCAGGCTAACCTCATGCTGCAGAGAGCTTTGTACAGGACAAAATCTCCTCTAGCATGTGAACATGTTCATTTCACTACTTCACACTTAGCCTCTGATGTTGCAAGTTGCCTTTAAGCCGTTGTTTTTTAATTTTCCATTAATTTCTTTCATGCAAAATATGTTGCCTCTTCAAGGGTTAAATTAAAATATGGCTGAAAATTAATGGCTGAATCTTTTTACAATAGTAATAGCAAAAAGTTAGCATCTTTCTATACTACTAGCGCTGCTGTTTTTCCAGATCCAGTATTGATATCTGAACTGGCATGCGTACACAGCACAATCCAGGGTCTAAGATTTATGAGATAGGTGCTTATTGTCTCCTGGATGCCCAGCTGGAAGCATAGGTAGTGATCATTGAAACCTCCGATGAAAGAAAGCCACAACACCGTGCTAAAAGGAAGGTTTAAACCTCTGCGAATGTTAAGCCATCCACGTTACATATTTCTGCCTTCTCCCTACCTAGAATCAGACACCGTGGCAGGACAGCTTCAGACAACATTCTGAGATGATTAGATCAGTGCCAAGTGCCAGTTCAATAGGTGTCAAGCTCATCCCATTTTTTATTTGCCTGGGATGAAAAGCTAGGCATGCCATCAGCCTTAGGCAAGGACAGATACTTCAGGCAGAACATGTGCATGCTCAGGTCTGGAGAGACCTTGGAAAGTCTGTGTTTCATTAGGTGAGGCTGGCACTAAAAGCCTGTTTAAGAGTTCAGAGATATTCTAAGAAGCTTGCAGATCAGGCTAATCCATTCCTTCTGCAACAGACCATACCTCAGAAACTCGTGATTTGGATTAGATTTGCCTGCATGTGAATGCTCTGAATATGCAATGAACGTTTCATCATTAAAACAGCTGTAATAAGCATTTACACTAAGTTATTTGTAAATTTTTAATTACTTGGATATTTCAAAGATACAGAGCAAACTTTCTGTTGTGGGTTAGGTAGTATATGCCACCAAAGAAACAAAATAGTAGAGGAGGCATAACAGTGGTATTTTAGAATTTAGATGGGCAGTTTAGGGATGCTCAGAATCTGTTACCCACATTGACTTCAGTTAGAACTGATCCTCTCCTATGAGAAAGTAGGGAATATGTATCTGAATGTTGAGATGTCGTTGGAAGTAGTAACATCGACTAATAAAACTTACCCACCTCTTGGCAAGGTGCTTCATCTTTTATAAATGATAATCCACTGACTAATTCCAAAGACAGTTAGGTTATTGGTAGGCAATTGTTTTGACTGTATAAACAGACTTTTTCCCCCCCCCCCCTATTTGTTTTGTAAAATTTTAGGATGAATCTTCAGGAGAAATTACATTTTACATGAAGGGTGCAGATGTTGCAATGTCCACTATTGTACAGTACAATGATTGGTTGGAAGAAGAGGTAAGAAACAGAATAAAAAATGTATTAAAAAAAATTGTAAAAACTAAAAATTTAAAATCAAAATATTGGGTATTGTTGAAATAGGTTTAAAGGAGAACCTGAGCCAATGCAGTAATGGTTTTTGAAGTTCATGTGTATCCTGAATGGATTTTAAGGGATTAGAATTGCTTCCAATTCTTAAATAACCCACAGGAAAAGCAAAGCTGGTAGTCATAGCAAAACACATTCCTACTTAAAACAAGGAAATTTGTTTTTCATTGACTGACCTTTCACATAAAACCTAATTACTTCTGAGAAGTATTCTGTGATAAACTTATTTATCCTGAAATGCCCTTGTTTCATCAAATTCTACAGTGAGGTATGATTATGAATTACAAAGCTTAATCAAGGTTGCAGCCAAATTGAAATAGTTTTTTTGCCACATTCGTTAATATAACATAGCTAGTGACTGATTTTCAAAACTGATTAATATTTTTCACTGTGTGGCTCTACTGGCACCAGCAATCGTCTTATTTTGACCCTACGTACAGACAATATGTTAATACAATGATTACACCATGTATGTTCATAATGGTATTGGCAATATGAATCAATATCTGCTGCAGGGCAGTTTGATTTATTCAGGGACATGAATAAATTAAACTCCCTCAAGACCTAGCAAAATGTCATAAAAATTACTTTTGGCGATAATGATGCACAATTAATTGTAAAATACTTGTTTAATTTATTTAGCTTTATGAGGTCAAATCAATAAGTGTTTTGCACTGGACAGCCTTGTTTTTCATTAAGACATGCTGTTGCATGGTTATTTTGAATTTGTAGATATTTTTATAATAAGAGGTACATTCAGTAGAAAAAGAAAATGTAGCTCTGTTATGTGCCTCAAAAATAGCTTTAATTTATTTTAAAGCTTCAACCGGAAAGAGGTTTTCTTTAAGCTTACCAATAGCATACAACTTCATTTGGGGTACCTGAAGTATAATTGCTTTTTATTCTGTTTGTGTCTTCTCCAAAATAATCTAAGAGTCTAAAGAAACACCTAAAGTTATGGTACAGATATCCCCTGATATATATAGCATGTAAAACGGGTACATACTGTTGAATATTTGCATAACTGTTCCGTGGTTTGGTCCATTTAGTGTGGTAATATGGCACGAGAAGGACTGCGTACGTTGGTTGTTGCCAAAAAGTCACTGACTGAAGAGCAGTATCAAGATTTTGAGGTATGAAGGGGCAGAGTCATCTTGTGCTTCACCGTGTTTAGTTACTTCAAAGGGAACATTCCTCTCTTTTATTCTATTATGGTGGCAAAAAAGATGATTCATATTTAAAATATTGATAGCTGAGGTGTGGCACACAATCTGTTAAGAGGTTTTGTCACTTGTTAGTGATTGTTCTGCAGTCATACATAGGATACTGTTTTGCTTGATTATGTGACTGGACGCTGTTTTCCCAGAAGCTAGTGTAATGTTAATGCTGTAGCTTCAGCATGACCTAAAATACCTACTTGTTCTCAAAGATAAGGGCAGTTCCTACTTAGATGCTGTGATGCCTAGTTCTTCAGAAGGCATTCTCCTGAGGTGATTGCACCAGTACAGGCTCAGGGCTGACCTGCTGGAGAGCAGCTCTGCAGAGAGGGACCTGGGTGTCCTGGTGGATGACAGGTTGACCATGAGCCAGCAGTGTGTCCTGGTTGCCAAGAAGGCCAATGGGATCCTGGGGTGCATCAAGAGGAGTGTGGCCAGCAGGTCGAGGGAGGTTCTCCTTCCCCTCTACACTGCCGTGGTGTGGCCCCATCTGGAGTACTGTGTCCAGTTCTGGGCTCCCCACTTACAGAAAGATGAGGAGTGGTGCCCAGCAACAGGACAAGGGGCAACGGGCACAAACTGAAGCAGAGGAAGTTCCAGCTGAACACGAGGAAGAACTTCTTCCCTCTGAGGGTGACGGAGCCCTGGCACAGGCTGCCCAGGGAGGTTGTGGAGTCTCCTTCTCTGGAGCTATTCAAGACCCGCCTGGACGCGGTCCTGTGCAGCCTGCTGTGGGTGACCCTGCTTTGGCAGAGGGGTTGGACTGGGTGACGCCCAGAGGTCCCTTCCAACCCCTACCATCCTGTGATTCTGTGATTTGTCAGAAAAAACACATATAACATTGGGTGTAAGGTAAAATTTGCTTTGTCAGTCTTGTTGTTCATTAAAGATATTTAAAGACAAACATTTAGCCTGAAGAATCCATATTGTAACTGATTGGTAGACTGAACACATACTTTATGAGTCATAGCGAACTCTAAGTGGTTTTGTGTTTGTGCAAACAGAGTCGATACAACCAAGCGAAGTTAAGCATACATGACAGAAACCTGAAGGTTGCTGCTGTTGTAGAGAGCTTGGAGCGAGAAATGGAATTGCTGTGTCTCACTGGAGTAGAAGATCAGCTGCAAGCAGATGTTAGACCAACTCTAGAGATGCTAAGAAATGCTGGAATAAAGGTAGTAAACACATACTGCTGGCATGACAAGTTATCATTTATTAATTTTTTTTTTTTTTAGCAAGACATGAAGTATATTTGTCTATATTCAGGATCATTTAAAGTAAGAAAGATGCCAAGTCCTAAGCACCTTCTGGGTATGAGCTAGCAGAAACAAACAAGACATTGTATGTGATGTTCCCTTGTCCACCACAGGTTTCATTAATCTGGAGCTTACTTCTGTAGGAAAACTAGCAACGGGTAAACATACGTGACGCCCAGTCACTAATCCCCTGACTGTGTATGGTGAACTGTGCTAGCTGACGCTAAATGAGTTTGGCACAAGATTCGCATGATAACAGTGTTTTCAGGCTTGGCACTCAGGAGAAGTCTCAGCAAGGATGAAAAGATGAATTGTTTGAACTAGAATTCAGAACTGCCCTTGGAGTTTGTTTGGGTTGTTCCAGTCGTGTTAAAGGGACAGTGTCAAAAGCTTTGCACAAGAATTTGTGCTGTGATTTGTTCATGGACAGGCTATGCTAGACAGCTGTCAACTGCACATTTAGAAGTAATACATTTATTTGACAACAATTTCCTGACACAGATGATTAAGGAGTCAACAAGGAGAGAAGCCCTACTAGTCCTCATGCTAACAAACAAGGAGGAATTGGTCAGGGATGTCAAAGTTGGTTGAGGGGACATCCTTGGCCACCCGCAGTAGTTACGAGAGGGTCAGCAGGCTCAGGAGGATCTTATTAATGTCTATAAATACCTGAAGGGAGGGTGCAAAGAGGACAGAGCCAGGCTCTTTTCAGTGTCGCGCAGTGAAAGCACAAGAGGCAATGCATGCAAACTCATATCAAGGAAGTTCCACTTGAATATAAGAAGAATTTTTTTTCCTCTGTGTTCAAACACTGGAGCAGGTCTCCCAGAGAGTTTGTGGAGTTTCCATCCTTGGAGATACTCAAAACTGTCTTGACGTGGTCCTGAACAGCCTACTGTAGTTGGCCCTGCTTTGAGCAGAGGAGATGGACCAGATAATCTCCAGAGGCCCCTTCCCATGTCTGCTATTTTGTTATTCTGTTTTCAGTTAATCCGTCTTCCCCAAAGGCTTTCAGGTGAATTAGCTGGGAGTGCAGTGGTGTGCACAGTTAGAAAAATATATGGGTGGATTAAAGCCTTAGGATTACATCAGGTTTCTTTTCAGTACAGTGTGACTAGTGCAAGTACTTAGATTAGTGCTTAATGTATAGTATTTACTCGTTTGCTCTTGATATTTCTTTTGTATGTGGTCACTTCTGACTGTTAGGTATAACCTGCTCCAAAGAGAAATAGAACAGCATGGCAATTTTTAGGGGGGGTGGGGCTGTTAGTGATTAGTTCTAGGATTTCAGAGCATTAAAACTGTTCTGGCTTTAATTACAACCAACGCTATAGCAAGCTGGAAACACAACAGTAGCTGTAAATACATCATAAAATTATAGATTACTCGGTTACTGATAAGAAAACAAGAGTCCTTTGTCCATTTGCTGACCCACATGGACACTAACAAAAAGGATCCTACCTGAGATGTCCAGGAAAAGAGGGAGACAGAGGCTTACAGTTTAATAAAATTGCAGCTGTTAACTTAGTAACCATCCAGTAATAACTCCTGCAGCTGAAGTCATTTGTGCTGCGTGATCTGTTCTGTTTGGTCTAGGGCTAACGGTATCTCATTCAGATGACCTTCAGCTTTCTTGGTGTGAAGGGGCTGAGGGAGAGAGAGCTGTCTCACTGTAAGGACAGATGGTCCTCAACCTTATTCCTTAAACTTTAAAGCCTTCATGCCAGTTCTGCACAGTCACTGGGCAAGGTCTAGTTGGAGCATTGGGACAGTAGCTCTTCCTCCAGGATCTGCTGTCTCGTTCCTTGGCTGCTGCTTTCTGCTAGATTCTCACTAGGGTCACAGACTGTCGCATCACACCATTTTGCCGATAAATGGTGTTTCTCTTGTAGTTGCCTACTTCCTCGCTCTATGATCAAGGGTAGTAGCAGGGCCATAGGGAATGGCTGCTGTGCTTTCCCTGCTGCCCAGCTGCGCCAGTGGGTTCCCCCAGAGTTTTGTGTTCTTGTTTTGCCCCCTTCATGTAATTAGAGACAGCGGCCCTTGTGAGATGGGGAGGGGAATGGAGCTGCCTGAAGTAAAGACGGTTCTCTTTTGCTTTGTGTGTTACTGCAGTTAAAACTTTTTAGTTAAAAATGCAAATTTTGATATATTTTCTCTGGTAATCTAATCCCAAAAGGTACCAGAAAAAGGTTGGAGAGAGATGTCATTTAGATTTGAAGAACAGATACGTTAATGTCCAACGGAGTAAACTTTTACATTATTTTGCAGATATGGATGTTAACAGGAGATAAACTGGAGACAGCAACTTGCATTGCGAAAAGTTCTCACCTGGTGTCTAGGACTCAAGATATTCACATTTTCAGACCTGTAAGTATAGTTCCAACTTTTTTGTTAGTTCATCAAAGGACAGCTAGTAACAATCTTGCTTCACTTCACCAGTTGTTGGCTGCTTGTTGAAAATTGGTGGTTATTGTACAGAGTGTCATGATGATGGTTATGAGAGTAGCACTTAGGTGGTTATTCAAGGATGCAGAATTACAAAGCGTTGCTTCTGTTTAAGGGTGATTGTTTCTGGTTTTGTTGATGTGCTGCAGAAGTGTTTGTAGCCATGTTTGGGTGACCCAGGTTCAACATGCGCTTTACACCCTTCAGTTATGCAATGGGCATAGTAAGGTACCTCTGAATAAGGATGGAGAGGGGTCTATGTGAGGTGCTGAGCCGGTAGAAAAGAGCATCCAGGAACTTAGGCTGTCTGAATGCAGTTCGTACTTGTTTTAGCGTTTGCATTAATAGAACTCTTTAGACTCAAGCAGAATTAATCCTGAATTAAGATGTGATGCCAATGTCCTCTGTATAGATGTAGTTCAAATCATCATGAGAAAATTCGGTACTTTTTTTTGTATATCATAATGTATATTTGCATTTTATTAACAGACTGTTTAAGACAATTGTTACAAAGGTAAACCAAATATCATTTTCTATACATTTTGGTGATATTTGCATACTATCAACTCTACTGAAGCCAAACAAAAGTAGATTTTCCAGAAGTTGATTGATGCTGTGTGATCAGGCATAATATGTCTGTGTTTGTTCTAAACGAACCCCTTGCACCTACAGAAATAATTATATGAATATAATTTACATGTAAATGTAGTTTCTTCTGAAGCATCGGAATGGCAAATTAGGCCCTGCAGACTACTGTTTGCAATTAAATTATTAATGCTTCTGATAAAACTTCAGATCAATTTTTGTTGACCTTTCCATGTTGTAACACCACAAATTAAGTCTTCCTGAACAAAAGCTATTTAGTTGAGTCAGATTTTTATTTTCATTGCCTGGGCTAGTAATCAGAGATCAGCATAAAACTGAGTTAACTTAGAGTACGCAAAGTTTTAAATTAGTTAGAAAATGGATTTATACGGAATTATTTGTGTGGCTGTATTTGTTGCAAAGAAGTAACTGCTGGATTAATGTGAGAAAATAGCAATCACTGTAACACTTCTATCTTAGTTATAAATCAGTAAATAAAAAATTATTTGCTACTTTGGCTTCCCAAAAAGATGCATTTTGTTTTTAACGCTAGGCTTATTTTCTTCATTTTGTACTGAAATTAACTGATATATTATTTTAGAGGTATTTACAAATTTAAAAAAAAAATACCTCGCTTAGGTGAAAGGTAGAACAGAGAGGGCAATTTCTGCTCATCGGTGCACGCCAAGTGCTGACATCTCTTAATCTTTGTAATGCAGAAAGATTATAACGGGCGAATGCAATCCAGGGTTCCTAACAGTTGGTAGACTAGGATCTTTCTCTTTACTTGTTCAATTGTGGGAAAGGAGGAAAAAAATTCTGGATTGGAGCATGTGTATGGGTTTTTCTGTTTGCAGGTGCTTTTTAATGTAACTCAAATTTTACGTGTAGCAGAACCTACCTGGAGGGAGAAGGGTCTTTGGACCGCATCTGATTCTGGGTAGTGGTGGGCCAAAGACAAAGCTTCATGTTCAGTGTAATTAAAAATGGTATATTTTGAAAGTTATTTCATCAAAGTGCTGACAGAACCAAAATTAGAAGTGTAATCAGAGTTTGTGTTTTATTCTGTACTTGGAACTTTGTCTTGCATAAACGTTGATCTTTTATTGGAAAAAAAACCCTAAAACTGCCAGTTTCCTCAAAGTCTGGTTATAATTTAAATTTTTCATGTTATGTGTTCTAGCTCAAAACTTGCCAAAATCCATTTGGTAACCTTTGACCATTTTCTGCGTCTCACAGCTGGGCCTTTCTGAAACAATAACTATATAAATAAAAAAAATCTATGATGTAGTTCTTTTGTATTATGCCACTTGATCCTGCTTGCCTACTCATGCAAGATCCAAAAGGATTAGTACTAGTGAGCATTTTGGGTGCCTTTTTAAATCTGTGTCTGTTTACCCAAACTGAAGGGACTATTAATACGAACATTTTGCATTATTCCAAGAACATATTTTACTGATTAACAAATAAAAGTTTTGGGGTTTGCTTGGGTTTTTGTCTGTTTTTTTCTCTAGCCCCACCAAGACAGAAAGACTCGGGTCAGTTTGAACATAAGATATTTTAGTGTCATTAATTCATTAATTTTTAGCCCTGGACTTCTTTGATGAGGAACCAGTAAAGCTGACTACATAGATTTTCCTTGTTTGAGGATACTTTCTCACTCCATAAGATTCGAGGCTTGTAGTCACATCTCATGGGTATTGGGCTTGCACTGGGATGAAACACTTGTTGAAGAACGGAGGCCTTCTGGGTATGAGTTCTCAAAACCTGCTTTATTTAGACAGGTTTTTTTTAAGAATATAACAAAATGTTTTAAGTAAGTGTTTTTTATTGAAGGTTGCCACTCGAGGAGAGGCTCACTTAGAGCTAAATGCCTTTAGGAGGAAGCATGACTGTGCCTTGGTGATATCTGGGGACTCACTTGAGGTAAGAACTTGGTTTCTCTCACATTACATTTATCTATACGCTTATGTTCAAAAAGTAAAGTATCAGTGTCTTCATGTTCTTAAACTTTTCTCCTATATTTGCCCGTAATTTAAGTTGTCCTTACAGATATTTTTGTTTTTCACTGAGTGCTAATTAGAGATTAGATGTTCTAGACAGGCAAATGTTATTGGTTCTCTGGTCTCCCATATGGTAACAGAATGGAACCTGTACGCAGCATGCTTTAGTACTGTCTCTCCTCTTAACCCCAAAGCGTAGAATCATAGAATCATTCCAGTTGGAAAAGACCTCTAAGATCATCAAGTCCAACCGTCAACCCACCACCACCATGCCTGCTAAACCATGTCCTGAAGTGCCACATCTACACGTTTTTTAAACACCTCCAGGAATGGTGACTCCACCACCTCCCTGGGCAGCCTGTTCCAATGTCTGACCACTCTTTTAGGAAAGAAATTTTTCCTTATATCCAGTCTAAACCTCACCTAACACACGTGGGCGCCATTTCCTCTTGTCCTATTGCTAGCTGCCTGGGAGAAGAGACCAGCACCCGCCTCACTACACCCTTCTTTCTGGCAGTTGTAGAGAGCGATAAGGTCCCCCCTCAGCCTCCTCTTCTCCAGACTGAACAGCCCCAGCTCCCTCAGCTGCTCCTCACCAGCCTTGTTCTCCAGACCCCTCCCCAGCCTCGCTGCCCATCTCTGGACACGCTCCAGCACCTCAGTGTCCTTCTTTTAGTGAGGGGCCCAAAACTTAACACAGTATTCGAGGTGCCGCGTCACCAGTGCCAAGTACAGGGGCATGACCCTCCCTCGTCCTGCTGGCCACACTGTTCCTGACACAAGCCAGGATGCCATTGGCCTGCTTGGCCACCTGGGCACACTGCTGGCTCATGTTCAGCTGGCTGTCGACCAGCACCCCCAGGTCCTTTTCTGCTGGGCAGCTTTCCTAAAACTGAGCCCTGGGGAACACCGTCTTGACTGGCCGCCAGCTGGATTTAACTCCGTTCACCACCATTCTCTGGGAATGCTGGCTTGTGGGCATGTTGGCTCTCTAAATGAAACAGAATGTCAGCTGTTTTCTCCCAGATGGATGTTGTGCAAACAAAACTTCATAAAAGAATTTGTATACTGTTTTTTTGTGTAGACTGCATGTAATAGTATTTAATCATAAGTAAATGCAAGTGTATTTTTTTCCCTTAGGTTTGTCTGAAGTATTATGAGCATGAATTTGTAGAGCTGGCTTGTCAGTGTCCTGCTGTAGTGTGCTGCCGATGTTCTCCCACCCAAAAAGCTCACATTGTGAAACTGTTACAGCACCACACTGGGAAACGCACGTGTGCAATAGGTAACTGTTGGCAGTGTCTTCATTTGCAGTAGCTAAAATCTGTAACGAGCAGTAGATGGCACCATTGAGAAATAGTTGAAACAAATCCAAAGAGACTTCTGTATCGACAGCCAGGTATTACGCAGCTGTAGCAGAAAGTGTCGTTCCAGGAGAGAGGTGTAGTTATCTTCTTCATTCCACGGGAAAATGTCGTGATTGCTGAAGTAGTTTATCATAATCCATAGATTAATTGTAAGAATTTAAAGGTGTGTAAGAGGTTTCTAAAATACTGTAAGGCCAGGAGAGTAAGACCTCTGAAGAGCTGAATATTGCAGTAACATTTTCCAGGTGATGGTGGAAATGATGTCAGCATGATCCAAGCAGCAGACTGTGGAATTGGAATTGAAGGCAAGGTAATGTGAACAGTTTCATTCTCAAATGTGTGCCATATAGTAGTATGGTAACGTGGGACTAGAAGCTCTATTCTTAAACAGTAGTGAATTGATCATTTCAAATTAAAGTATGCTGTAAGGTGATAAAAACACTTAGTCTTTGAACTAGTATTTTCTTTGATTCTGTGTCCTCTGCTTTATCTTTTTAAATACAAAAAGCAAGAAAAGCAGAAAATACTATTGTTAAACTTTTGTGTAGCATTTAACTGAAATAAGCAGTATAGGTGATAGTACAGGTAGTACAGCTACTGCATCACAGAATATGCACCAAAAAATTGGTTTTGGTGTCTCGTTGCAGGGTTGATTCCTGAAGCAGGAGCAAACTTGACTTTTAAAATTAATTATCACTTAGACTTTTGAGATTCGAAACACATCTTTCACACTGGGTTTCGTATTTGGAATGTTTTTGTTTCGTTCTAGGAGGGAAAACAAGCTTCCCTAGCAGCTGACTTTTCTATCACACAGTTTAAACACATAGGTAGGCTGCTGATGGTACATGGTCGAAACAGTTACAAGAGATCAGCAGCACTTGGTCAATTTGTCATGCACCGAGGCCTTATTATTTCAACTATGCAGGTAATTAAAACTTTGTTTTCTGAGTAGTTAAAAAGACTGTCTTTGAAATGTCACAAAATCTTAATCAACCAGTATTGTTATTTTTTTCTGTATTGTAATGTTTTGTATATAGAATTATATTAAATATATATAATTTTCTGCTTTTTGTAGGCTGTATTTTCATCAGTCTTCTATTTTGCATCTGTTCCCTTGTACCAAGGATTCCTAATGGTAGGGTAAGTCAAAACCAAGAGTTACGATACCTGGTAATAAATATAGCAAACTAACTTGTAAATAACACCCTGTAGTTGGTGTCAGCCACGTTTTTCTTATATTTATCATTGGCATGCTACCAAAACCTGGAATGAGTCTACAAAGCAAAATCAAACTAGGTTGAATATGCGTTATACAAGGGGGTAAACCTCATTACCAGTTCTCTGAAGAGAAGGATCTGCCTAGCCTTAGAAGAAGATACCATATAACCTTTTTCACATACGGGTTGAAAACCACAGCGGAAATCTCCCAGTCTGTAGCTGTTACACAGATGGCCATGCAAGCCTTGGTGAGAATCCCAGGTTTTTCTGTTAAAAATTGAACTGAAGCTACTGGCTATGAAATTTCCACTGAGAGTGCACTACCCAAGTTTGCCACGTAGCACTGTTTGGGTGACTGTATGCAGGATTAGAAGCACCCCGGTCTTGTTGCAGAAGCTGCTTTAGTAACTCTGTTCCCCAAGTCTTACAGCTGAGGGGATGCATAGATTCACAGAATCACAGAATAGTAGGGGTTGGAAGGGACCTCTGTGAGCCATCTAGTCCAACCGCCCTGCTGAAGCAGGGTCACCCAGAGCAGGCTGCACAGGACCGCGTCCAGGCGGGGCTTGAATAACTCCAGAGAAGGAGAAGAAGTTCTTCCTCATGTTCAGCTGGAACTTCCTCTGCTTCAGTTTGTGCCTGTTGCCCCTTGTCCTGTCGCAGGGCACCACTGAAAAGAGTCTGGCCCCATCCTCCTGACACCCACCCTTAAGATATTTATAAGCATTTGTAAGGTCCCCTTAAATGCTTGTCCATTATGCATCCCCAGAAATGCTTCATGTTTGTCCCTACTCTCTGCCCTTCCTGTCGTAAGAGCTTCTTTTTATACTCCTTGAAAACAATGACAACTTAATAATAACTTAAACGATAGCCAAAATGAGATGTGCCTACACCAGACTCTGCAGAGGCAAGGAGCAGACCTCTCCAAAATGGTGGTGAATAGTTGTGCGAAGTTCTCGGAAAGTACAGACTAAAATGTGCATCTGGCATGTGCATACTAAAATCCAAAGCCACTCACAGAGCTGTTCAGACTTTTGTTCATCCACCTACCTATACTGTGATGTCCAGAATATAGTGCTTGTTTTCTCTTCAGTTTTTATGCCATTGTCTGTGGATGAATATAAATGTCAGGTCTTTGCACTGGTTGTCTGAAGTGGAAGTGCACAAGGAGTATGGTAACAGGCAATAAGCTTGGGTGATATATATAGAAGAAAGAAATGTATTTACTGTTTTTGGATGTATTAAAGCGCTGTAACTTCTCACAACTGGCAGCTTTCAGAAGCACAAGAGCAGGTTGCATGTATAAACCTGTGCTGGTACACTGCCTCAGTACTGGGTAGAAGAACCAGTTTAATTCCACTTACACAAAAGGAATAATTGAATTCACTAATCAGTTTAAAATCGTATTGTACAAAAGTGTCAATTTATGTGCTTTCCTTTCACCTAGGTATGCAACCATATATACCATGTTTCCAGTCTTCTCTCTAGTGTTGGATCAGGATGTGAAGCCAGAAATGGCATTGCTGTATCCAGAGCTTTATAAGGATCTCACAAAGGTATGAATGTCCTCAGATACAGACCGATGCTGATATCTCTGCAGTGCAAAACTGGGAGTTCTTAGCATAATTTTCTGAAGGCATTCCGTGCAAGACAGTTGCAAAACTAGTATAACGTAGACTTTTGTACTATGAAAATAATCCATGGTACCAAATATTCCACTCAATTTTATTAATGCATTTGTGAAGTTGCCAGTGGTTGGACTGAAGTAATTAAAACACGAAGTTACGCTGATGTAGAAGTTGCTTTCAGTCTGGCCCCAGGATCTCTGATCTGAAGTTATTTATGCACACTTTTTGACAGCTCCTTTTTCCTTTTTAACTGGCAGATTAATTTATAGATTTGTTTTTTCCCTATCCCCCAGAAATTACTACTGACATCTCTAAAAGCTGACTTGCTTTAAGTAAAAGATATTGATACCACGTAACTGAATCATCTGTAGATACTGCTTTCGGTGTGTTTGCACATACCTGCAAAGAATGAAAGTGTGTCATTTCTCTATCCCTCAAAGTGAAACAAATCTCAAGATTCTGTTTTCGTAAGTTTTTTGAAAGTACTTCTGCTCTATCTTAAACTGTTAGCTAGAAAAGTTATGATCAAAGACAGAAGCAGATAGTCTTTTTAGGGATAGTAGATGCTTTGAAGATGTGTCTAAAAGTTCAAAAGCAGACTGTCGTCAGAGGGTCCAAACTTTTCAGAGCTTTTGTCTTTTTAATTGTACTAAATTAGCTATTAGCTATGTTAGTCTGGGAGAATTTTTTCTCATCTCTTGGAGATTTTGATTCTCTCTTTCGCCTCTTCAGAATCTTTAAAGTTTCTTTGTGAGATTTCAGCCTGTGATTTATCTCAAAAAAGCATGGCCTTCCACCTGCTAAAGGCAGTTGTGAGCTTACCTGTGGAAACTTGTTGATGGAATTTGAAAGCATCTTTGTGTACTCGGAAACCCCCCAAGATGGGTGAATACAGGCAAAGTTTTTTGTTTAGGCTTGAATGGCAGTGACGGGAGATGCTGAATCACTGGGTTTAACAGCTTATGTTGCACCTCTACAAATATTAAATAAGTAGAACCCAAATAATTCTCTTCAGATGAAAAACAGAAAAAGAGAATGTGGAGAAACTGGAGAGTACAGTTCAGTGCACTGTGTAGGGCAGATGATGATCAGTGAATGATGGTGAATGAGTAGTACAAGAAGTTATTTATGTGCTACGTTTGACTTCGCTATTAGAAGGTAATCTCATTGTGAGTGTTTATTACAGCAATTTAAGATCATGCTGCCTTAGTCATGACAGTGTGAAGCCTACATATTTCTGCATAGCATTTTTCAAATTACGGACTCTAAATGCAAATCTCTACCAATGCTATTCAGCCAGTGTTATTCAAACGTCTGTTGACGCGGACTATAATTGTATTCCTAGGAATTGGTTTCTTTTCTGGGACATGCTAGTGATGAAAATGTTTTTTAGATTTTTAAAAGCATAAGATATGTTGGCACAAGTCATTGACAGACTCTTACTCCGGTGCAATAAGAAGAGAAAATGAGCAAGGTTCAGAGAGCGAGGTGTGCCCACATACCCTGGAGGACGCACTGATTCAGTGTCGCCATTACTGCAGCTCCTACGGAGTTACAGCTGGAAAAGCTGATGAAAATTTGAAAGGAAGCACAAGAGGGCTCCCTGCTTTCATCTGAAGATGATTCACAGCCTGTTGTGCAGTGTTCCCTAGAGGCTCAGGAGTGACTTACCCCTGCTAGTTCCATGAAGGTGAACCAAAACTCGAGCTCATTCTGATTTGGAACAAGTTGCCCAGAGAAGTTGTGGAGGCCCCGTCCCTGGAAACGTTCAAGGCCAGGTTGGACAGGGCTCTTAGCAACCTGGTCTAGTTGAAGAGGTCCCTGCTCACTGCAGGGGGGTTCGGCTAGATGGCCTATAAAGGTCCCTTCCAACCCAAAGCGATCTATGATTCACGAATCTCACTAATTGGGAGCTATGGTCAACGGCAGAAGCAGTGTCCAGTACTCAAAGGAAAATGTGTGGGCACTCATAGGAGGAAAAAAAAAAAATCTAATGTTTCTCTGTGCTCGTAAGAGAATTTTTTCCAGTATGTTTGGCATGCCACCAACATTCTAGACTATACAGAATTATGAAAATGTGTTTAGCACCTTGCCATGAACTCTATCTATCCAAGAAAATGTTTTAGCCTATACTGAAGGAAGAGCTAATTCATCTCTTTCTACAGCAGTGAAGCACTTTTCTTTGTAAAGAACTCCCTGTTCCAGCGATCCCTTCTTTTGTGCTGAAATGGCTGCTTTGTTTGCCTTTTTATCGTTAAATGCGTATCCTCTCAACTCTGTGGTTCTAACATATTTCATCAGTACCCTCACAGAAAGCAAGTCATATGCACATGCACAGCATTTATTCTTTGATTTCTGCATATGTTTCAATCTACAACATTCACAATCACAAGAATATTTACAATGTATTTGGTAATACTTACTTGCTGAAAACTTACAGTAGTCATATGTTTATTCTATGAACGCAGAGAGACAGTTTATCCCGCATTTAGAAGTGACTAGTAACTACAGTTTGGCTTGAGGTGTAGGTCAGTAGATACACAACGCGATTTTTCTTGAAGACTACATTTTACAGAACAGATATAAAGACATTTTAAATGAAAAATAAACTCATTTTACTGGAATCATCCCTCTGAAAACCAGGCAGAGCGTTGCAAGGTAAAATATTGTTGCTGTTTAAGGTCTTAACTGTCCTACCCCTGAAGTTAGAGACTTTGTGCAATTTCTAGACCAGTTTGCAATGAAGAATCAGAAAAACAAGTAGAAGCTTTTTAGCCTACATCACTTCAAAGACTGCTTATTTTACTTGTAAAATATCTCTCTAGTGATTAACTATTAAAAATGTATGAACTAAGTAGATTTTTTTTTAATGTTGTGTTTAACTGTCCTCTCACTTGTTTCCCTTAGGGAAGATCTTTGTCATTTAAGACCTTCCTCATCTGGGTTTTAATCAGTATTTACCAAGGTAGGAGAGAGTCCTAGTTTTACTGAACTGAGATTTTTCTTTGTCTGCTATTAGCAATATTGTTTTCAGCTGCAGGTTGAATTCCCAAAGCTTCACATTTCATCAGCAGTTATATTTATTGCTTTCTGTTTATCTCGTAAATTGATATTCCTGTAGTATGCCAGACCTGTTCAAAACACGGGATGGACTGGTATTTTTATTGATGCATGTCACCTAAAAAAGGACATGTTTTTAATTAAATGCTAATCCAGAAAAATTTTAATGAGTGCTTATCCCATTGCATATATTTACACATTAGTTTTCTTTCATGGAATGACAGAAGTGCTGTTGAAGAAATCTAAATTATGTGATCAGTTAAAAATAATTACACTTTCAATAATATCTCATTTATTTGTAGCACTTGACAAAATGAAGTCAATGGAGTTCATCAGATAAATTGCAATAAATGATGTTTCATTTTCTAATAGTTTTATTCACAGCTTTGGTTGTTTTATTTCACATGCACAAAGTACAGTATATATGACTTCTGTTCTTTTAGAAAGATCAGTGTTATCTTATAAAAAAAACTACTGGGCAGGTTTTCATAATAAGCAATCAAATGTTCAGTGTGCAGTTGTGAGAACTGGTACACTGAAATGTCCTTGCTCGGTGTATTGTTAACTGTGTGTGCCTTTCCTAGGTGGTATTCTGATGTATGGAGCCCTGCTGCTTTTTGAATCTGAATTTGTACATGTCGTTGCCATTTCCTTCACTGCCCTCATCTTGACTGAGCTCTTGATGGTTGCACTGACCATACGAACATGGCACTGGTTAATGGTGGTGGCTGAATTCCTCAGTCTTGGCTGCTATGTGGCCTCTCTTGCATTTCTAAATGAATACTTTGGTGAGTAATAGTAAAAATACTTTAGCAAAGAACTGTTCTTTATATTTTTAATATTTTTTCTCATTTTTAAAATTAAGAATAGGTGATGTCATGCTTTGTGAAGTACAGCTTTCTCTGTAAGAGATATGACTGAGATAAAATTAGGCTTAATTAATGTTGAGTTAAAATATTCTCTTATGCTTTTCTTCTAGAGTTTGGTAATCTTTATTCCTGTTGTTATGATTTATCCAGATGGTAAACTTTACTCAAACCACACATGCTTTTCCCACCCTTGATGTGACCTTGATAGTCCAAACCGCATACCTTAAATTGGCTTTGAGATTGCACTATTGAAATGGATATGATTTTTGAAAAACCAGGATCTTTCACTGAGTTGGTGAATTATTTTGTGTGCTGGACCAAGTGGACATCATTAGATCTAATCCACAAGCTTAAAAGAGCTGAAGTATTGCTAGAGAGTGAGGCAGAAGGCTGTTAGGATAGATACTTTATATAAGAATAATTTTTTCGTAATTACATTATGCTTATATTAAGCTTGCTTTGCTTTAGATTGCAGCATACGGTACTGTGTCTTAAGGTTCTGATTGTTCATAGTTCACAAGATGAAAGATGACATTTTAACTGCAAATCTTAGCAGTCTGGGATCTAAGCATCAAAATAAGACATACTTCTTTTTATATCGAATTATCCTTCAGTAAAAGCAACCATCTCAGTCTTAGTGTGATTTTACAAATGTAACTTTTGCAGAAATGTATATAACAATTTGGATTATGCCTCACAAGGAGTAGAATCCAGCTCCTTCCCTTTGTTTTCCAGGAGGTGATGGGTAAGGAGTTGTCCTGCAGTTGTCACTTCTCAGAGCAGAATTAAACGTTGCATGGTAGTTTCTAGGAGTCCCATAGTTACGCTTGCACTCTCTCATGTCCCAAGTGTTCAGCACTAGGGTAGTGTGTTACATTATATAATTATTTCATCAGTATATGCTTCGCTGCCTGTCCCAGGTGTTCTGCTGCTTCCCAGGTTTCTCAGGAGTCAAATTTTCCTGAAGAAACAACCCTGTTGGGCTTGGTACTTGTATATTATTTCAGGTTTGCCAAAGTCCCTTTTGGTTTTCTCTGACACTGATGCACAGGCTCTTTAATATAGATTCTTGGGTTGGTTCCTTCATCTCCCCAGCCAGATGATGAATGCAGGGAACAAGCAAGAGCAGGTTCAGGTACTGGCTCTTTAGTCCAAGCTTCCAGGAATACCATAGAGCAGAACTTGCTGCTTAACCTCTGTAAGTCTTTAGCCCTGGTGACAGCCAGTCCTTCCATCCTTTCTCGGTGGTGTTCCCTGTGCAGCACCTTCAGGTGGTGTTCACAGATGTGTAAAAGCTGTGGGGACTTTGTTTCTTGCAAACCTTCCCATGAAGGGGAGTGTTTTACTCGCCTCATGTATTTGCTGGAGAAGTCCAAGCAACTGAGTAAGTAAATGATTGCATGGCTTCTTGCAGCCCGGGAACTTCTGTATTTTTCGTCATTAAGGGTACTGAAAAGGCTGCAAGTTCATGGGCTTTTGTAAAGATACATTTTACAGTGTCTTATTAATCAGTTAATCTGAGAAAATTGCATTTCAGTCTCACTCCTGCTTAATGCTTTACTCTTACCTGTCTGTCACATTATAACTGGGGGGAGGGAGCTTTTTTTTGGGCATGTAATGTAGTATAAACTGAAGTTAGAATTTACAGTTCAAGGTATAGAACAACTTCCATGTATCAGGAAAAAACAATCCAGTCCAATAGTGCCTGACTTCAGTGGCAAATAAATTTTCTTTCAATGGTTACTTACAAGCATCGCCTCCTCCCAAAGAAGTGATGCCATAAGTATGAGAGGGCACTCAAATTAGAAAGACAAAAATATTTGATACTGCACTACAGCTCTGACTCACGGAAGTAAATCATTTTTTAGGCTTCTGAATTAATTGCACGTAACGGCCTTATTAGGCATGTCTCTATGATGCATTACGTAGGTGTGAAGTATGTCTAAGCAGGCTTAGGCTAAAACTGTGTGACATGTTTATACATTGAAATCTAATATACAAAGTATTTTTAATGAGTGAAATTGGAGCAGTAAAGCATTTCTTTACTGCATGTTCTGAAGTGAATTTTCATTGACATTAAAACAGTTCTGATCAAGTTTGTTCTGAAGTGAGTTTTCATTGACATTAAAACAGTTCTAATCGAGTTGTTTATACAGTAAGTTATACCTTGAAGTCAAATGTAAGAAAGCTGCCTTCATACCTACAACCTTAAAACAAGACCAAATATAAAACCTCTATATTTTCAAAATATTTTGGTTTATTTGCTGTTTAAAATATTCTGATTGTCATGCAAAAGGCTATAATATTCCAGTTAATGATACTAACATCTTTTTAGTTTCCTTTTTGTGTAGCTAACCTGTTTGAGGTTTTTTTCACGTAACTTTTGTATTTTCTGTGAATCTATCCTTTCATTTTCATTCTCCATCTTTGTGAAACAGGTATAGGCAGAGTGTCTTTTGGAGCTTTCTTAGGTAGGTGAAGTTTAACTTTTCTTGAATTCTTTTTGAAGTCTTTAGAAATTCATTGGAGAGTAGTAAATTATGTAATATACATACTTGTAAATAATGGGAGAAAATGAAATCCCCATTCTTCAGGTTACCTGGGTTCTGGGATCTTTCCATGATAATTAATTATGACCTAACCATTGCAAATACCATCAAAAAATTTCCATACCAAGTGTAGGGTGTCACCATTCTCGTTAATGTTTCTCACCAAAAATAGCTCTCCACTGTGGCTTGTGGCAATGTCACTACCTTGTTTTCCCTTGAAATTTTTTGGGTCTAGTGTAATCTCTAAGGTTTTAGTGAACATTCAGTCTACTTGTGACTGTTTCAGAGAAAAATAATCTGAATATGCAATAAAGGATCCAAAATAGTGGCAGAATTTGGGGTTGGGAACTTGTACTATAGTGGGTAAGAATTGTTCTTACTAGTAGAAAAATAAGCTGGCTTAAGTTTTTATTATGAGAAAATCTTTTAAGTTGAGATTCTGTTTCTCTTAAGATTTTATGCTACAAAACAGTGTAAGGACCGTAAAGGAACTCTGAAGTTCCTGTCTAAAGAGAATAGTTGGCAAAAACAAGATGTTGAGGTGAACTTTCTCTTTCTTGTTGTTTTGTTGCCTTTATTTTTTTTTTAATTTTGCATGGTCTTGAACAATAGGATCAACAAACAATTAAGAGAGCTTTACTGAGTGTGCACTGTGGAAGTTCCAGTTTTGTGTTAGCAGCTTCCATTACTGATTTTCCCTTTTTGTTCCTGCAGATGTTGCCTTTATCACAACGGTGACCTTCCTGTGGAAAGTGTCAGCAATCACCGTCGTCAGCTGTCTTCCACTTTACATTCTCAAGTACTTGAAGCGCAAATTTTCTCCTCCGAGTTACTCCAAGCTTACCTCGTAAAAGTAATGATAGTGCTGTGGTTTTTCACTCACACCAGTCTGCAGGTGTTTATGAATTTATGCTGGACTAAAGAAATTGACAAAAAAAGAAAAATTGAAGGCGACAGAGCACAAAAAGAGGAGGAAGCATCTGACAGGTACAATAACACAGAAGTACACTAACAAGAAATATCAGAGATAAACTACAGTTTCTTCATGTTGATTTTTTTTCTTTTTACTTTCAGTTCCCATGATTATAAGATAAAACTGAATTACCTTTCATTTGACAGTGCTTCTGAGTGGTTTCATTGCTACTGTGAAGGATTTTTTTGCTACCGTAAAGGATTTTTTTCCACTGTACTAATCTTCTGCAGATTAAATTGAAAGTTTTGTTACTTATTACATAACTTCCCTTCTTTAATTATTACATAACTTCCTAATTCAAGTCCTTTCCTTTAATGTTTATATGTGGAAAAGTTCATTTGTCCATACTGCTATGACAAACCTAATACCTGTAAATGCCCGCATCTGTATTAGCAGCTAACTGTTATTCCTCATCGGACATTGAGTAATATGCACTATTTGAATTACGTACAGATGTCTGCATAGCACAGTATTATTTTAGGAGCTGTTGTCCTATTCTGTACTCTCCATTTCTGCCACCAGTAAATATTACAGATCTGTGATGTTGACAGCAGTTCTTTAAATGCACATTACAGCCAGGTTGCACAAAAGCTGTTTAAAAATTAAACGATAAATTCTGTACATAATTCCACTGCACCTCTTGATCTGTACAGGTATCGAAGACATGGCTGCTCAGTACATATGTCTTAAAATTCTTACTCATTTTGTATTTGTAAAACTGCAAATAGTGTCAAAGTACATTTCTATATATGAGAAGTCCAGTAAACCTTGTATTAGCTAATATGTTTAAATTGCCTTGTAATCTGTTTACTTAGGTTACTCAGGTAAAAGAAAATAAGACAAACACATGAGCATTATGGTAGGAAAATCTATCATCTTCCAAGATGTAAATTTTATGTTTTTACAACTTAGTTTGGGTGACTGTCAGAGTTGAGTGTCTTGGCTGGGTTATGACACTTCACAGTGGTTGAAGGTTTGTTCCGGAAGCTCATATACTCTGATACAATCTGAAGGGTCCAGATCTTGCATATTGTAATGGAAAGTAGGATATATTATTTTAGTTTTCCATTGTGATATAACTTTGCTTTCTCAAGAAGTACGTATAATAAATCTGTCAGAGTCTATTAATCAGTAGAAAGGAACAGCATATAATTATCCATGCTTTATTTATTAAATATTTATGTGTGTGTTTTTAAAAAACACTTAATATGGATGTCATTTTTATGTTTGACTGTATGCCTTTACAACATAATTCCTTGTTTAATCTTTTATAACTTTGCCCTTATGCCATTATTATATCGGCTGAGTAATATTGAAGTGATCAATGTAACTACTTCCTGGGAGAGCAGAGGAAGCTGCTGCAAAGCCAGGTGGGCTTCACTCCACTCAATTCATTTTTGCTTTGGAAGTTTTTCTTACTAGCTATTTATCTGCCTTTTTTTTTTTTTTCATTCCTCATTATAAAAGCAATAAAGCATAATTTCTACCAAATATTATTAATGGTATATGTATTAAATGAACTACTGAAGTAGTGTTTCTTTTAATTACACAACATTGCAGACGAGTTTGCTCTGTCCCTCTGTAAGCTCCCTTCTGCACAGCCCCCACAAGATGTCACTGCTCTTGCGTATGAGCAGAAGCCTGGCTTCATCTCGTGTGGGTTTGGCAAGATGCTTTTCGTTTTATATTTTTAGTTTAGTTGTGTGATATTTTTGTTGCTGATTTGTTTCATTTATTTGTTTTTCCCCAATAAGTGGTAATTACCTTGAATTGACTGAGAAGAGTCACCAGTGTGCAGTTGATCTGAAACAGTGAGGATGTTTTCTTCAGACGCCTTTGTCTTCTACATTGTGAGCGCACAACCATATGCATAAGATTCAGTGGATAAGCAAAAGAGTTGAGTTGGCCGTCCTTCATCTATACATCACATATTTGACATTAGTCAGAGAAAGAGAAAAAAGCAGAAATTAAACTAGCAATGTGAAAGTGAGAGTGTTACCATAATACAGCCGTGCGAGATGCAATCGTATCCGTGTGTACAGAATTTATAGTGTGCCTGTATTAACCCTCAACATGAAGAGCGTGAGGTTAGTGTGAGAGCAAATGTAGAGATCGTGCACACAGGTACCAGCCTCTCAAAAGTGGAAGTGCCTGCTTTCTGAAAGTGTTTTCAGTCTACAGCAGAGTTCTGGTTTCAGCTGACAGTTTCTTTTGAAGACTGCAGAAGTCTGATGCAGGCGCCTTACCTTGCTTTTGAGGCTCCGCCACTGCAAAGCGATGCATACCTGGGAAGCCTGCTCTCTCTTCGTCCCTGCCGCTCGGCCACAGCCCTGTGAAGGGGTAGCGCTACCAAATCGCAGTTGTTTGCAGGTAACAATATCAATACAGAATTTAAGTGTTGTAAAACGACATGTTCCAGTAGAAAGCTTTCATGTATTGTGGATTTCAGTACAGAGTACCATCACAATCCCTGGCTCTTAAAACAGACAAGAATGGTAACATGTCTGGCGTGCAAGTGAATAAATTATTTCATAAAAATCTCATGCTGTTGTCATTTCACATCAGTGTATGTCAGGAAGAAGTCTGGAGCACCAGATCGGCTTACACAAACACAGATTTAGACTTTGGATCTGCAGGTGACACCCAGAAGGAGCTTAATTTTATCTGGTATTAGATAAATGTTTGCTTTTGTGAGCTGCTATGTTAGATATGTATTTCTGAAATGGTAATTGCATCTCTTTGAAAACATATTTGGAAACTGATGTCAGAACTGGGATAGGATGGAGGAGCAAGATGTGAACAGGAAATATGTCATCACCAAAGCAGCATGCATAACAGTACTGACCTATTTGGACCATGTTTAATAAGCGTACGAGCTGAACGTCTGCTAGATTTCCTATGTGGTTTGATGGAAGAACACCGGGAGAAGGAGAGATCCTGCGAAAAAGGAGTAATGGTAATTATTACACTGGTGTCTTCTGCTGCTGTTCAAAACTCACATGTTCATGTAACTGCTGGAAAATATTTTACTACACAAGATATTAGTTTGCAAATAGAAGCCAAAATTAAATCCTTGCATACTTAACATTAAACCTGTAGTACTCATCCATGAATGCAAGTGTTTACAACAGTGGTTTTATGTTCCAACTGAGCTTGTTGACACATACCATCAAAATTCAGCTGTGTGACATCTCCTGTGTTCTTCCTAAAATTTCTGAGTGGTTATCCAAAAACGTGCTATTGCTTTTGTATCTACATAGGACGTGTGCGTTGTCTTGATGAGCAGCATCCACTTGAGCCAACCTGTATTAGAACTGTCCTCCTAGCCTGTGTCCACAAGAGAGCGCGAGCCTAAATATTTTTCAGTCTCCTTTTGAAACATATCAGCAAGAGAGAACTCTGCAGTCAGGAACCTTTTCAGAGCGGACTCCAGTTCTGCAGGTATTTAAGCAAGAATTTTAATATTCACCTATGTAGTTAAACAGTTGTTAGTCACAGGGGTCAGCTTCTGTAGACAAAGAGGAGATGATTTTCCTACATACCGCTCATGCCCATTTGTGCATGTCAGAGAGTATCGTAGAATCGTAGAATGGTTTCGGTTGGAGGGGACCTTGAAGATCATCTGGTTCCAAACCCCCTGCCCAAACGCCCTGCCATGGGCAGGGACACCTCCCACTAGACCAGGTTGCTTAAAGCCCCGTCCAGCCTGGCCTTGAACACTTCCAGGGAGGGGGCAGCCACAACTGCTCTGGTATTTCACCACCCTCATAGGAAAGAATTTCTTATGTCTAATCTAAATCTGCCCTCTTTCAGTTTAGAGCCATTACCCCTTGCCCTATCACTACATGCCCTTGTAAAAACTCCCTCTCTAGCTTTCTTGTAGGCCTCTTCAGGTACTGGAAGGCTGCTATAAACTCTCCCCACAACCTTCTCTTCTGCAGGCCGAACAGCCCAAACTCTCTCAGCTTTTGCTTACAGGAGAGGTGTTCCAGGCATCGGATCATTTTTGTGGCCCTCCTCTGGACCCGCTCCAGTAAGTCCATGCCTCTCCTGTGCTGAGGGCTCCAGAGCTGGATGCAGGACTCCAGGTGGGGTCTCACCAGAGTGGAGGAGAGGGGCAGAATCTCCTCCCTTGCCCTGCTGGCCATGCTGCTTTTGATGCAGCCCAGGATACAGTTGGCCTTCTGGGCTGTGAGCGCACATTGCTGGGTTGTGTTGAGCTTCTCATAAACCAAAACCCCCAAGTCCTCCTCCTCAGGGCTGCTCTCAATCCATTTGCTGCCCAGCCTGTATTTGTGCTTGCGATCGCCCTGACCCGTGTGCACGACTGCACTTGGCCTTGTTGAACCTCATGAGGCTGCATGGGCCCACCTGTCAAGGTCCCTCTGGATGGCATCCCTTCCCTCCAGCGTGTTGACCACACCACAAAGCTTGGTTCGTCGGCAAACTTGCTGAGGGTGCACTCAGTCCCACTGTCCATGGCACAGACAAAGATGTTAAACAGTGCTGGTCCCAATACCGACACCTGAGGGAACACCACTCATCACTGGTCTCCACTTGGACATTAAGCTGTTGACTGCAACTCTTGGAGTGCAACCATCCAGCCAATTCCTTACCCACCGAGTGGTCCATGTGTCAAATCCATGTCTCTACAATCTAGAGACAAGGATGTTGTGTGGGATAGTGTCAACTGCTTTGCTCAAGTCCAGGTAGGTGATGTCAGTTGCTCTCCCCTTATCCACCAATGCTGTAACCCCATCGTAGAAGGCCACCAAATTTTTCAGGCAGTATGTCTAAGCGGTATAGTCTCCATACTCCTCAGCAACCTTAACTGCTTGCTCAAGGCCTTGAGATTGCTTTGTGGAAGAACCTGCCTCAGATCTTCCACTGGTGAACTAGGCAGTGGGTTCCTGCGATCATCCTCCATGCCTACACTGATATGCTCCTCTGCCTTGCTCTTACAGGGTACATTGGAGGGTTCCTTCATCACTGGAAGTTGGGGCTGT